GTCAGCCATTTGCCAGGTTTTTATTTTGAAGGTCTGATTTCCCCTCCCCCGCAATACTATTTCTGTGGGGCTATTTCTACCTACTGTCTCACAATTAAGTTGCCACAAAATGGTACCACATTTTAATATTTTCATGGGTTAAAAAAAAAGACAGTTCATGATTATTACAAAATATTGTTAAAATTCTATCAAATGTTCTACATGAGTATTATAAACTCACATAATAATGCGATAGAATGAGGAAAGAATACATAACAGTTGAGCCCTGGTGTGTTGTACCCTGGGTCGCTCACTGCAAGGTCAGCAGTTCAAACCACCAGCCACCTGGAGAGAAAGACCATGCTTTCTGCTCTCGTAAAAATTTATAGTCTCAGAAACACATAGGCGGTCAGTTTACTGTGCTTTAGGGTTACTACACGTCAGAACCAACTCAACAATGTTGTTGAATTGACTAACAGTTGATGTGAAAGATTCCAGCCCACCACTCCTACTAAATGAAATTGAGCTATGTCTAAGAAGTCACATGAATCGTTTAACTGTCACAGCAACTCGTACATCTGGGGAAAAGAAAAGCCACCACCAGCCCTAAGTGCTCATTTGATCTTTTGTTGCCTGGCACACAGCTGCAACACGAAAGGTACCACACATTGGCAACCATCAATCCTTATAGGGGAGGCTCTGCAGGTGCTACTAGGACAAGTCCTCTTAAGTTGGTATTTATTTTCATTACAGATGATGAAATGAAGGCTCAGTAAAGTTAAAGACCTTGCCCAAGATTATAGAACACCAAAAGAGAAAATCTGTAGTGCCTTGAGGCCTATTAAGCTACCCTGAACTTACCCTATGCATAGCATTCGCTCTGTCATCTAGTCAATTCTGACTCTTAAGAGATCCTATAGGGCATGCAGGCCTCTCCCTATGGATTTCCGATACTGCTAATCTTTATGAGAGTAGACAGTCTCATCTTTCTCCTGCAGAATGGCTGGTGATTTCAAACTGCTGACCTTGCATAACCCAGTAAGCCACCAGGGCCTCTACATACAATTTTCTAGGGAGCCTAAAAGAATTTGTTTTAGTGTGTCTGGTGGTACTTAAAGGAGTCCTGCTGGCACAGTGGTGAAGCACTCAACTGCTACCTGAAAGGCTGATAGTCTAAACCTACCAGCTTCTCCACAGGAAAAAGAAGTGATAAGGATTTATCACCTTGGAAACCCAATAGGGCAGTTTCCACTCTGCTCCATAGAGTAGCTATGAGAGGAATTCAACTTGATGGTAATGGCTTTGGTTTTTGGTTTTCATTAGGTGGCTTTTTCAAAATGAATTATTACAGAGTTTCAGACTTCTTTTTATTATCCAATAAATTTTATATACAATTAGTGCATATTAGAAAGAAAGAATGGCAATGTCAGTAAGGTATACAAAGTATACAAGCTGGCCAGTACCTATCACAATGTACTGAGGAAGAAAAAGTAGATACAGCATTAGATATACCCAGGGAGATGTGGCAGTTCCTTGAGTGAACTTGTGTGTGTGATCCTACACCTAAACTGCCATTAAGAATGACAGGTGGAAGATGTAAAGACTCAAAACTGGAGGGAGGATTAAACTCTAGCATGTCTGTTGAGAATGCTAGAGCCTTGGGAGGAGGAACTGTAGTGTCCCTGTGGTAAAGTGAAACCACTTGTCATGGCTTTTCTATGCATAGTCTTTGTAACTCCCACCCAATTACCGGATGGGAACATACAAATAAGGTGATGGGAACATGCAAATCAGCTGTACAGGTCTTTGATGAGGAGCTTGGATAGTTTTGCCATTCAGCCTGGTATGAAGTGAGCCATTCTGGAAGCACAAAGAGCTAGAGAAAGCCACTTGCGAGCACGTAAGATCCCAGTGTGAAGTGTTAGTAGCCCTGTGTGAATGGCGGCGGCAGCAAAGCCACCAGAGGTTGCAGCGTGGAGAGCATGGGACAGAGCAGTGAACTTCCCAGCCCACAGATCAAGTAAACCGGAATGCCTTCATTTGCGATGGGATCACAACTCAAAACGTAAGAAACAGCTGTACACAAGACCTCAAGATGGACGGACACCGAAGCTATAACCATGGGCTCCAACAGAACAATTGTTAGACGGCCCAGGACCAGGCAGTGCTTCATTCTGTTGTACGCAGGGCACCAGTAAGTAGAAACTGACTCAATGGTAATGAGTTAAAATATTTCTGGAGCTCTTTCCATTGTTGAAGCTACAGAAATGGCAAAAAGGCCCTGTGAGCTGAAAAAGAAATTTAACATCGCACTGGTCCAAAAATCTCAAGCAAACCAAACTCATTACCATCAAGTTCATGCGGACTCATAACAACCCTATAGAGTTGCCTCTGTGAGTTTCTGAGAATGTTAACTTTATGGGAGGAGAAAACCTCATTTTTCTCCTGTGGAGTGGCTGGTGGCTTCAAACTGAGGACCTTGCAGATCACAGTCCAACATGTAAACACTATACCACCAAAGTTTATAAATTCCTTCAACTAGCTATAAGCCGGAGCCCCTGCCTCAAACCGATTACAACCTTAGAGGACCGTACTGCTCCTTTAAAAGTTCCAATGCTGTAGGGAAAAGCTACTGCACACATACATGCCTGGGGTGAGGGCCAGCTAGTATGGCAGGGGCCAGACCAAATCCAGGGATACATATGGTAGACAACTAAAAAGGAAGGGGGGGAAAGAAAAAAAAAA